AAATAAATAAACTGACAAAGAGTAGTCAAAGGAGTAGGCATCCTACCATATTTCCCAACTTGAACAATGAGCAATATCCAACATTTTACTTCCTCTCATGTAATTACCCCTTTAGCAATTTTTGCTGGGTTTTTGAGACAGGCTCTTGCTATGTAGTTCAGGCTGGCTTTGAACTCACAGGGATTCTCCTGCCTCAGCCCCTTCAGTGCTGGGATTACAGGCAATGCATACTACAGTGAACCTCGCTTTAACATTTTTGCTGTAAATTCTGAGTTTCTTCCTTTACTTTCCACTTCAAGTTTACTAGTTGATTCTTTACCTGTGTGCATTTTATTATTCAGCCCTTCTGCTAAAGTGTTTTCTTTGCTTTTTTGTTTAATTTTGTTTTTAGTTTTTGAGTCATGGTGTTTTTATATAACCCATAACATTAAGCTTGCTATTCTTGCAATTTGGCACTCCTTCTGCCTCAGCTTTCTGAGTCCTGGGATTATGGGCATGTGCTGCTATACCCAGACTAAAATGTTTTATTTTCATACTAACATTTTAAATTTCTAAATACTCTCTTTCTCTGTTTTTCTCCCCATATAATTCTTGCTTACTGCTTGCAAACACCTCTTGGATCTTTTTGAGGGAGACTTGTAGGAAGCTGCCCATTTGTCCTGTGTTGCATGGATGATTTTGGTTTCCTCTGGGGTCAGCTCAGCTTATTCCAAAAAACCTTTTTGGTGCTTGTGGGGTTCTTCTTGATGCTTCTGCTTCCAGTCTGTTGTGCAGTATGTGATCAATTCAGCAGAATTAAGATGGTCAAATCCACCAACATCCAAGGAAACACTGGCCCTGAACCAGCTCTAGGGAAGTAACAGGGCTCTTAGAAATCCAATCTGAGAGTATTCTCTTTGTATTCCTGGAGAGTTCTGCCATGCCGGTTCTGCTCATAATGTGACTCCTGGTGAAGATAGGACCACAGGACATCAGGTGGATGAGTGGTGGAACTGGAGACTGAGTAATTATGTCAGCCATAAGGGCCCTCATGCCTCCCTAACCTAACCCAATGAACCCATGACTCCAGGCATGTACCCCCTTCCCTGGTGGGTACCTCTCCCATGAATAGTCACAGGTCCATGCTGGAGAACAAAGTGCTATCTGTTTGCCTGTGTTGAGGAAGACACCTGGAAGCTCTGGATAACTTGACATTTGTCCTTTCACTGCAAAGACACTGACCTTGAAAAGATGGAGACTTGCTAGCCGGGCGTGGTGGTGCACGCCTGTAATGCCAGCACTTGGGAGGCTGAGGCAGGAGGATCGTTGTGAGTTTCGAGGCCATCCTGGGCTACAAAGTGAGCTCAAGGCCAGCCAGAACTGCATACTGAGACCCTGTCTCAAAAAAAAAAAAAAAAAAAAAAAAACTGGCTAGTGACACACTGGCTCACAGGGTGGCCATATGGACACCTGACTGATTGTCCATTCACTCTGGGATTGACTGCCAGCTGGTACACTGCCCCCAGGATGGGACAGCCCCGTGAGGCCAGGGACACTTGTGTGGGGCCCCTTGCAGGGCTGCAGGCAGAGTAGATGCTTCCAGGCCCTGCCCATGGACAAAGCAGAGCCAGCTTCATTCTGTTTGTTTTCAAAGGATCACACCTTTAACAGCTGGTGACACACTTGGCTCCGAAGGCACCTACCATGAAGTAGGGACTTGCTGTTGGGCTTCCTGGGGGCTCTTGGCTGAGGGCCAGGTCATGAGGAAGGAGGGTAACAGAGGAAACAGCCAGGGTCCCTCGGCTGCACAAAAAAGGGGACTGCGGGGGATCACTGGCTACTGGGTCATGACAAGTGGTACTGTGGGTGATCTGCCCTTGCAGGAGCAGAAGGCCAGGACACTTGGTCTCCAGTATCCTTGGGTAAGGTGAGAAGAAGGGGTGTCCAGGGCTCCATCCGCCCCTCTCCCCCAGGGGGCTCCACCTGGCCTGAGCATCCGGAAGGAGGATCAGGAGAGGACACCATGGTCGCCAGGGGCGGGATGCTTCTGCTGCTCATGGCCTTGGTGCTGTCGTGGGTGGGACCTGAGAAGCCAGGTGAGGGGACAGTGGACAGGGCAGGCCCCACGGGATGGGAGTGGGGAGCAGGGGCGTAGAGGCGCTGGGGCGCTCACTTTGTCGCCTCCCCACAGCACCAACGGACGCGGTCGCAGCGGAAGGTGAGTCCCCAACACTCGGGCCTTCTTGGGTGGCGGGCGCCGAGGCGCAGCGCTGAGAAGCCCACTTTGTCCTCTCCTCCGCGCAGGTCCCAGGCTCACCCAGCTGCTTTCCAGTACTTACCGGCACGGGGCGGCGTCTGCGGGCGGCGCGGGACAGTCCGACGTCTCGTCCCTCTGGGGGCGGCCCTGGCGAGGGCGCGCGGGGGCGGGGGGCGGCCGCAGTCCCGGAGTCCGGCCCCTCGCGCGAGCCCGTGGGAGGCGGTGGCGCGTCCCGCTCAGCCGCGTGTCCCTGTCCCCCCAGCACCCTGCGGCCTCCGCAAGGGCCACACACTGATCGTGGGCGGGGTGGCGTCGTCGCGGGGCCGCTGGCCGTGGCAGGCGGCGCTTCGTGAGGTGCAGCACCGACTGCTGTGCGGAGGGAGCCTGCTGAACCGCCGCTGGGTGCTCTCCGCCGCGCACTGCTTCGCCAGGTGAGTCGGGACCTTGAAGCTGAGCCGCGCAATCACACACTGAGAACTTTCCAATAGGGTCCCTGGAGGGAGCCCTGCTCAGAGTCTTCCAGAATGCCCTTCCAGAACATTCCATGAGCTTTTGGTGCATTATTCCCCCTCCATCACCATGACCCCCCCAGGGCACGCCCCATCCTCCTCCTGTGCTGTTCTGGAGGTGACCGGGGTTGGGGCAGGTGCAGGAGTTGAGGGGGAGTCTGTGAGCAGAACGTCCTGCCAGGAGCCCTAAACTGGCCCCGAGATCTATTCTGTCCACCTTGGGCTGTACAGAGGTTCCCTGGAGGACTGGAACCACTCTCCAGGGGAGCCACCCCTCCACCTCCCCCACACTGCCCAAGAGTGGGACTGCGCTCATGGCTTGTTGGGGGTCTGATAGTTTCTGCAGAGAACCTTTTGGCCCAGCAGAGAGACTTGGTGTCCAGTCTGAGCAAGTGGTACAGCCCTCCAGGACACCTGAGGAAGGGGCGTGCCCAGGTGGCCAGCCCTACTCCCAAGACCCTGAGTTCTCTCTTCTCCATGGCAGGTTCCCTGATGCTTCTAAGTGGACTGTCCAGCTGGGTGAGCTCACTCTCCACCCATCTGTGTGGAACCTACGAGCCTACCTCCATCGGTACAGGGTGACGGACATCTTTGTACACCCTGGAGCCAGAGGGTATTCCAATGACATTGCCCTGCTGAGGCTGGCCTCGCCTGTCACCTACACCAAGTACATCCAGCCGGTCTGTGTCCAGGCCTCGCCCTCCTCCGAGTTCCTGCACCGGCCTGACTGCTGGGTGACCGGCTGGGGCGTTCTCCACGAGGACCTGAGTGAGGCTGGGGGAGACGGGCTGGGGTGGGATGGGGGTGTGCGGGCACTCTCCTGGCCCCCTGTCCCAGCCCCACCAGGCCCAGCAGCCCCTCCCTAGTGTCTGGGGCACCACGGAACCCCTCTGCCTACCTGCTCAGCATCCCTCCCCTCCTGTCCATGTGACCTGCGAGGTCAGGTGCCAGGCGCTCAGTTCCTTCCCCTGAGGACCTGGTGGCCAAAGGCAGAAGCGCAGGGACCTCCAGCTTGGCCCATCCTGTGTCCCCTGGCATCAGGGTTGGGGTCAGGCAGCTTTCCGGGGAAGCTTCAGGCATTCACTGCCTTATGCTGAGATTGAATTCACAGCCCATCAAATTTGGAAGAGAACGGTGTTAAAGTGAATTTACCCCTCGGTGATTTTTCTTCTATTCACCTAGTTGTGCAGCCGTCAACCCTGTGTAAGAGGAGAACATTTTCAAGTCCTCAGACACAAACCCCTCTCCTCTGTCATCCTCTCCATGGCCCAGTTTGCCCACACCTTTCACCCCGGCCGCCTGCATCCTGCCTGTCTCTGTGGATTTGCCTTCTCTGGACTCTGTCCAGAGTCATAGAGCAAGTGACCTTTGTGTCTGTCTTCTTCCGTGCAATATAGGGTCCTCAAGACCAGTCCAGTTTGTAGCATATCATGTCCACTTTCCTTTTCTCCCTCCTCCTCTTTTGTTTTTGAAGTTTCATTCACATAACATAAATGACACTTTAAGGATGCAATTTGGCCTCATCTAGTGAGTTCACCACACTGTACCATCCACCTTATAGAAGACCCTCATTTCCACTATGTGACTACTCCTCACGGACCCTTCTCTGGAGCTCCTGGGACTTACTGGCCAGCTTCCTGTCTCTGGACTGAGTGCTTTTGAGTATTTCATATAAACAGCTTCATATAGTATGTGGCTCTCTGAGTCTGCTTTCTGAGATCAGAGTGCCTTCCAAGCTCAGCAATATTAAAGGATATGTGAGACCCTTGTTTCTTTTTATGTCTGAATAATATTCCCCTGTGTAGCTGTTTGTTTATAATCCAGCTTTTTTATAGCAATTCATGTATTGATGGACACTTGGGTGGTTTCTACCTTTTGAGTATTGTGAATAGTTAATGAGAACATTAATATACAAGCTTTTGCTTGAGCACCTAATTTCTGAAAAGAAACCAACTATATATCCCATTGAGTTCCCTTGTACTGACAACTAGGTTCTCTCGCTCTTTACAAGTTTCTCTCTGTGTTTAGCTAGTTTGGTTATAATGTGTCTATAGATGGATCTCTTTTGTTTGCCTTGCTTGGAATCTCTTCAGCTTCTTGAATCTGTAGTTTCATATATTTCATCCAATTTGACCTTTTTGGAGGGGGGTCCTGGCTCCTGCAGTCAAAAACTGTCTACAGAGCTGGGTATGGTGGCACAGGCCTATAATCCCAGCACTCAGGAGGCTGAGGCAGGGGGATCAGCACCCAGTTCGAGGCCAGCCTGAGGTACAAAACAAGAACCTGTCTCAAAGAACAAAACAAAAATAAAACATCTACTAGATGCCTCCTTAGCTCTTCTCTATCTAGGCTTTTGTTAAGAAATCTGTCCACCTGTGCAGACAGGGACTGTCGTCTCCATTGCACAACTAGGGAAGTCATGTTTCCAGTGGAGCTGCAACAGCTTGTCCACGCTCTGTGGTACTATTGATTGCCCGTGATGTGGGGTGATCCCCAGGGGACACTTGCATCACCACCATAAGGCGTGTCCTTTGTCTCATCCCTGCCCCAGATGGCGGAGGGGATGATGCTAATGTCACCTTCTGTCTTTGTCTTGCCCTGCAGCACCTCTGCCACCTCCCTACCACCTCCGGGAAGTGCAGGTCACCATCATGAACAACACCAGGTGCAACTACCTATTGAAACAGCCCACTGTGCTCCATAGAGTCGAAGAGTCCATGTTTTGTGCTGGTGCTGAGGGTGGCAGCACAGACGCCTGCAGAGTGAGTGCCCCACTCCCCACTCAGGGAATCCCACTTTTTCCCAACTATGGGGCTGAGGTCCACACCCAAATGAATTTGGAGATCATTCATAGAAATCAGTTAAACTCCTAGCTGGGTATGATGCCACATGCCTGTAATTGTAGCACTCTGGGAGGCTGAGGCAGGAGGATCACAAGTTTGAGCCCAGTCTTGGTAACTTTTAATGGCCCTGTCTAAAAATAGAAAATAGAAAATGGGCTTGGGAATGTAGCTCTGTGCAGATGCCCTGGGTTCGATCTCTAGTCACACACACACACACACACACACACACACACAGAGAGAAAAAAAATCAATTGTAGTCCTTAGTCACCCAGCCTATACCACCTATTTCTCATTTTCCATTAATGGTTCCTCTTTATGGTCTTGCTCCCCTCTGGAGGTAGAGAATCCGACCATGCTCTGTAGATGTAGAAACAGAGGCCCTGTCAACTGCCAGGGGAGGTGCCAAAATCCCCTCTTTCCTGGCCTCTTTGCTGGGCCACCATTCCTTGCCCCAGGCTGGGCTCACCTGTGCTACTCCCCAGGGTGACTCAGGAGGACCCTTGGTCTGCGACCTGGACGGGCTGTGGTATCAGATTGGAATCGTGAGCTGGGGAGTGGGCTGCGGTCGCCCCAATCGGCCCGGAGTCTACACCAACATCAGCCAGCACATCCACTGGATCCTGAAGACAGTAGCCAGCGGTGGCTCCCCCAGGCTAGACCTCCCCCGACTGCTGCTGCTCCTCACTGTGCCCTGGGCTCCCCGGCTCCTGGGCCCCACCTGAGCCCACCTGACGTAGGGAGATGCAGCTGGGGTCACAGCGCTTACAGCCCCCTGCACCCCGTGGACGCTTCTCCTTGAGTGGGGACGGCCTGCTGGATCAGGCTTCCGTTCCTTTCTGTCTGGTTTACTAAAAAACTTGTGTGCATATCTGAGTTGTCTTCACAGAGCTTTATAGGGACCCATTGGTCTCCTTGATGACTGTCTCTGTTCACCCATGACCTATCCAGCCTGGGCCCCGCCCCAATCCTAAACCTTAGCCAGGTTTTGGCTGCAAATGGCTAGGCCTGCTGTGGTTAGTTCAATCCAAAAATGATTTATAGAAGGGCAGCTGTGACCTCAGGGTGTCTGGGGGCTGGGCAGGCTTGGAGTGCAGGTGCTGGGGTGCATTCCAGTGTGGCCCGTCACCAGGAAGCATGGGTAGGGAAACCTGTTATTTAAAAAAAAAAAAAAGAGCCAGGTGTGATAATACACATTTGTCATCCCAACACTCCTGAGGCTGTGACAGGAGAACGGCTGTGAGTTCAAGGCTAGTCTGCGCTACAGAGTGAGGCCAGCTTGAGCTAATAGCACCATGGTTTAAAAAAAAAAAAAAAAAAGTGAAGCTGGAAGAAGTTGAGTTTAGCTTGACTTCTAGTTCTTAGTGTGAGAACTCTTTGGGGCTCTTTCCTGCTTCCCCAAGGTTCAAATGTCCATTTTTCAGCCAGCTGCAACACTTCTCTGGAAAGAGCCAATTTCTCAGGGAGAACCCCTCTCCTTGACCCAACCCTCTTGTTTGTCTACATCTCCAGCCTTGCCCCTGCACCCCATCTTGCACCTCCCGGGCCCCCTGCTGAGTAGGGTGCCCAGGCTTCCAGCTTGCTCCCCCTCCAGGTCTGCTCCAAGTCCTCAGGGATGATTCTGTGCTCAGTGCCCCTGGCCCCTCATGCCATTAGTCCCTGCAGCTTTCCAGCTGCTCCCAGCTCTGCACTGTGGCCCTGCTTTTCCCAAGCCACCCAAGAGCAGCCAAGCCATGGACAAAGACGCCAAGGCTTGGGGAAGGTAGGACCCTGCTTCCTTCGTGCCTGCCGCACCTTCCGAGCTTTGCTCCATTCCAGGCACTGTTCTGAGCTCTGTGTGGTTCACTCAGCTAATCTTCATAACAAACTCGGAGGACGGTTTTACAGGTGAGGTATGTGGGATACGTGGGTTGGAATAATTAGCTCAAGGTCTCAACACTGGAGGGAGGAGCACCAAAGCCAAACTCCAAAGAGCTGATCTTTGTTTTCTTTTGTGGTACTGAGGATCAAATCCAAGACTTCACCCGTGCTAGCTAGGTAAGTGCTCTACCACTGAGCTGCACCCAGGCCCAAAAGTGGTCTTGAGTGTGGTCCTAAACTGTGGACAGCAGAAGCCAAGCCTGGAGGCTCCTTCCCTCCACCCCTCATCCAGATGCCGATTCTGGGTCACCATGGGGTTCCCTCTTCTGCATCCCTCAGGGTGGCATCCAACCTGCTGCCCTCCCCAGCCTCACTCACTTCCTCCCAGATCCTCAGTGCCGGCTCTGTTCATCCACTGCAGTCTGTTATAGACTGGATGTTTGTGTCCCCTTCAAAATTCCTGAAGTTCTGTATTACTCAGCTTTTCATTACTATAACAAAATACCTGAGTCAGGATAACTTTCAAAACAGTTCACAGTTTTGCGGGTTCAAGAGCACCGCACTGACGTCAGCTCAGTTCTGGCGACAGCCTTGTTTCTGGTAGAGTCCTCTGGTGGCTCATAGTATCACAAGGGAGAGAAAGGGAGCCCATGGCTCTGTCTCTTTCTCTGTGTGGTTTTCCTCCCTCTCTTTATAAAACCACCAGGATTCAGTCATGGAGGGGCCTCCTAATGACCTAATCCAATCACTCTCCAAAGGCCTCACCTTTAAACACCATAGTGGAATTAAGTTTCCACTCTCTTAATTCCATAAGATTTGGTGGATTAAATTCTTTCATGAGTTTGGGGCTGAGGAACAACTATATTCAAACATAGCAAGTCCTAATCCTCAGTGTGACCTTACTTCCACTTATGGAAGAAGCTGGGGTTAAACGGGGTCATAAGTATGGGGATCTGGTCTAATAGGGTCTCAATCTCTCCTCTCCACTACACAAAGTCTGTGTCAGAACACAGAGATGGAGGTTGTCTGACAGGCTAAAAGGAGTGGACTCAAAATAAAACCTACCTTCCTGGCACTTTGATCTTGGACTTCCAGCCCCCAGAACCTTAAACCTTCTCTTTAAGCCACTCATCCTGCAGTATTTTATCATGGGAGCATGATCTAACTAATGCAGCAGCACAGACCAGCCCCTGCCCTGTGAATCAGAGACAAATCAAACTTCCCCCAGCCATGTCAAGTTACAACTTTGACAAGCGCCTGAAGGAGGTACGACCCGGGCAGGTGATGGAGCAAGGGCTGAGGAACAAGGGGCTGCTGGTGAGTGCTAAAATTCTACAGAGCCTTCCAGGTGTGAACCTAAGAGAGGACTCAGGGCCCCTGGCTACCATTCTGGTTCCAGAACTCTACTGGCTCTTTTTTTTGTTTTGTTTTGGTTTTTTGGTTTTTGTTTTTTTTGAGACAAAGCCTCACTATGTAGTGTAGGCTGACCTAGAACTCACTATGTAGCCCAGGCTGGCCTAAACTCAACGGTGATCCTCCTGCCTCAGCCTCCCAATTGCTGGAATTATAGGCAAGTGCCAACACACCCAGCCCTCCACTGCCTCTGAAAGGACAGTTGCTGCCTTCTGTCCCAGCATCTCTTGGCCTCAGCCTAGACCAGCAATCTAACCCTGTCCTGGCCATCCCAAATCAAAGAGTGGACTGTCTCACAAGGTCACACCTGTCTGGGCAAGCAAAGCATGCTGCTACCTTTGAGCCAGTCATTTCCACGTTGAGCTCTTACAGAAACAGGCCTGAAGAGCAGATGGCCAGGCTCGAGTCTCTCTATGGGGTCAGCAGGCCGGGCCTGAGGTTTGAGGCCCAGGATCTGGGACCAGGGATTGTGTGGGGCCGGCTAGGCAGGCTGAGCTGGGATTAACGGACAGAACAGTAGAGCTCAGAAGCTCCAGTGGCCAAGCAAAGAGGCAGGATCAGGTTCAGAGATGACCTGCCAAGGATCCTCCGGAGCGCCCTGGCCCGACCGCAGATCCGTTCCCTCCCGCAGTGCTCGGCACCTCGTGTCCTTTTCCTGCCACCTCTAAAGTACTGCTCAAAGCATCTTTGTTTGAAGTTGGTCAGGTGAACCCACAGCCCCGCCTTGGCACTGTTAATCACCCCCTGGCCAGGCCTCCACCCGTGTGCCCTTTAAGCCCCCAGGCCCTGCCCTAGCCCCGTCAGCAGAAAGGGCACCCGGCTGTGAGGGTGAGAGCACGGGCCAGGGGCTGCTGGGGCTCAACAGTGGCAGCTGTCAGGAAATACAAAGGAAGAGCGGGGCTAGGAAGAGGCAAAGGATGCCCACATCCTGGGGGCAGGGACTGCATCCTTGGCCAGAGGGGGGTCATAGTCCCCGGGGCCTGGGCAGAGGAAAGGGTGTAGAGTGCGGGTGGCAGGCAGAGAAACAAGCCAGGAAGTGAGGGCAGACGGAAGGGCCATGGTGGGTGGGGTGGGGTGTTCCCCAGGGCTACACGCCTCTCTCTGCTTCCTGCCAGCCCCAGAGACTCCAAGTCCTAGGCACTGCTACCCTTAGCCAGTCCAGCCCTGGAGACACAATGAGGGGTGCTTCCTGCCTCTGGGTCCTGCTTCTGCTGGTGCCAGGTGAGCGGGGTGAGGGTTAGGGGTGCTGGCCACAGGGCCCTTGGCTCCTTTTGCCACCTCACCCCTCTCTGGGCCTGGTTCCCCTCCAACACTCTTCAATTCCAAGGGTTCAAGTCTTCTTAACCACTGACCTTGGGCTCTCCAAACTCAAATGTGCTGTCCCTGTGTAGGGCCTAAGACTCCCACCCTTTACCCCACAGCGCCCTGGGGAGGGTTAAATCAGGTGAGCAATTTCGCAGAAGCCTGGCCTGAGGTCACTGTGACTAATGTGTTCCACCTCTAATCTCTGACCACCACCTTCAGCACATTACCTGACACAGGCTGACACATTACCTGACACATTACGTGACGCAGGCTCCTGTAGCTGAGAGCCGGGAAGGACGGGAACCTCAGTCCCTTCCCCGCTCCCTCCTGCAGGAGCTGCTGGGACACCGGAATCGGCAGGTAAGGAAGTCTCAGGACCAGCTCCTCCTGGACCTTCGCCCGGTCTCTCTACCTACACCCACCTCCCAGAGCCCTGGTCCTCGACAGCCCATGCTGTCCCCTCACAGCCTGCGGCCAGCCCCGCATGTCCAGCCGGATCGTGGGCGGCCGAGACGCCCAGGATGGAGAGTGGCCGTGGCAGGCGAGCATCCAGCTCCGTGGGGTGCACGTGTGTGGGGGATCACTCCTCGCCCCGCAGTGGGTGCTGACAGCAGGGCACTGCTTCCCCAGGTCAGCTCCCGCCCAGAGCCCGTGGAGACTGCCAGGGAAGTGGAGGCCTGCGGAGTGGGGTGCAGGGCTGGTGCCCCCTGCCCCCAGGTGGAGGACAGTGGTGTCAATGGCTCTGACTCCCGTTGCACAGGCAGCTGCTGCTGGCTGAATACCGCGTGCGTGTAGGGGTGCTGCGCCTGGGCCCCACATCGCTTCACACACGCTCGGTGCCGGTGCGGCGGGTGCTGCTGTCCCCAGACTACTCAGAGGATACAGCCAGAGGTGACCTGGCCTTGCTACAGCTACACCGTCCGGTGACCTTGAGCGCCCGAGTGCAGCCTGTCTGCCTACCCATGCCTGGGTCCCGCCCGCACCCGGGCGCATTGTGCTGGGTCACCGGCTGGGGCAGTCTCCGCCCAGGAGGTGAGTGGAGGGCAGGGACTAGGGGCCCTGGGGCAGCCCTCCTCCTGCTTGGGACTGGGAATCCTGGCCCCTTATATCTCCAATCCAGGACCCAGAGCCACTTCTAAGGACCCTAACCTTCTCCCAGGCAGTCCCAGCCTGGCACGTCGGGCTCAAGCTCAGCTTCTCCCCCAGAGCCCTGCTCCCTGCCTCACTCTGTCCTGGCTCCCCTTCTCCCAGTGCCGCTGCCCGGGTGGCAACCCCTTCAAGGAGTGAGGGTGCCACTGCTGGATTCACGCACCTGTGACCGCCTCTACCATGTGGGCACCAATGTGCCCCAGACAGAGCGCATAGTACTGCCCAGCAACCTGTGTGCGGGCTACCTCGCAGGTCACAAGGACGCTTGCCAGGTGGGTTTCCCCGAGCCCCGGCCAAGAGTTCACATCCCCCTGTCCAGCACCCTCCCTAGAACCAGGACCCAGGAGATATCATCTCCAGGTGATGTCCCAGGCCCCAACCCAGAGACATCAGCCCAGAAGACAGGACCTGGGAAGGCCGGGACCTAAGCTTGTCTTTCTCCTACAGGGTGACTCCGGGGGGCCCCTGACCTGCATGCAGTCTGGGCGTTGGGTCCTGGTGGGTGTGGTGAGCTGGGGCAAGGGCTGTGCCCTGCCCAACCGTCCAGGTGTCTATACCAACGTGGCCAAGTACAGCGCCTGGATTCAGGCTCACCTCAGCCTCTGACGCTGGTTTCTTCAGTCATGCTGACCTGGAGCCAGAAGCTGGGCCCCTCAGCCTCCTGGTGTATCTGACGTCCTGCTCACATCCTGGCGCTTCAGACTTGAGACTGAAGTGCTAAAGGCCATCTGTCCACCCATCTGCTCACCTCCCTACCCTCTCTCCTCCATGGGCTCACAAAACCTGGCAGTCTCCCACGTGTCCCAGGGACTCACACTCCTCCCCTCGTCATGCATATTTTACCCTCCTCAGCTCTGGCCAGGGATAGGTATGGGGCACCCAGAGGTGGGCAAACTAGCTGGTGCCCTGCCTGGCCTGTGTGCCCCTCATTTTCTGGAAGAAGTCAAACAGATTCAAGCCATGAGAGGCACTCAACACCAGGGAGCTTCTCTATTGCTGGCTTTGAAGATGGAGGGCCCAAGAACTGTGAGCAGGCTCCTGTAGCTGAGAGCCGGGAAGGACGGGAACCTCAGACCTACAACCAACCGGAGCCAAGTTCTGCCAACACCCTGAAGGAGATGAGAAGCGAATTCTTCCCCCACCTCCAGAAAAGACCTCTGCTTGGCCATTCCCTTGACTTTTTAGCCTGACAAGATGCTAGGCAGGGAAACCCAGCAAAGCCACCCAGACTTCTGACCTATAGACCTGTGATTTAATAAATTTGTGTTGTTTTAGGCTGCTACCTTTATGGTAATTTGTTACATAGTCATAAAAGCTAATATATTTTGCACTATGATGGAGATTCCTAGGGGTAGTGGGCTGGCCCTATGTATTTCAAAAGGCTGAGGACTGGTATTCATATCCTTGTGGTCTTGATACAGGAAGGAAGGTGGGTGTAACAAAACTGGCTGGGGAAGTAGGTGTGACCTGTTAATTACAAAATCACACACACAACAAAAGAAATCACCAACAGAGTGATATGACAACCCACAGAATAGGAAAAATATTTTACCGGCTACTCCTCAAAGAACTAATATCTAGAATATCTAAAGAACACACAAAAAATCAGATGCCCCAAAGGTAAAGACTCAACCCAAAAATGGACATCTGAAATTAATAAACACTTCTCAGATGAAGTATGAACAACAAATAAATATATGAAAAATGTTCAATATCATTGGTCATTCATGAAGTGAAATGCAAATTAAGACAACACTGGGATTCCATCTCACTCCAGAAAGAATGGCAATCATCAAGAAATCAACCAATAACAAATGCTGGTGGTGCTGTGGGGAAAAGGGAACTCTTCACTGCTGGTGGGAGTGCAGACTGATACAATCAGTGTGGAGCTTTCTCAAAAAGGTGAAACTAGCCAAACATGGTGGTGCATGCCTGAAATCCCAGCACTTAGGTGGCTGAGGCAGGAAGGTTGCTGTGAGTTTGAGGCCAGCCTGGGCTACATAGTGAGTTCAAGGCCAACCTGGAATACATAGTGAGACCCTGTCTCAAAAAACAACAACAACAAAAAAAAAAACAAAGAAACAAAAAAACCCCAGTAAATCCCTAATTTATGAACAAGTTCCATTCCAGGACAATTGTTCATACATTGGACTTGTTCATAAGCTGACAAAGTGTCTTACACAGTACACCTGCGAAAGTTTACAACTGAAATGTTCATAACTCGGGGACTTACTGTGTATTATGTACCAATAAAGTCTCATGATGAATGTGATCATTATGTATGGCAAACATGTACTAATGAAATAAAAAATTCTGCAAAAAAAAAAAAAAAAAAAAAAAAAAAATCCCAGGACATGTGCACAGAACAGTTCCCAAAGCCCTGCATGTGGACTTCTTGTAAGAACTCAAGCAGGTTTTCTGCAGGGTGGCGGAGACCTGACTTCAGCCTGAGGAGTGGGTGATACAGAAAGGACCAACTATGTTGAGTTTTTGCCACTCTGTTCTCCCTTATAAAGGGGCCAGGGATATAGCTCAGTGGCACAAGCCCCTGCCTGGCAAGCACAAGGTCCTGAGTTTGATTCCTGGTACAAAAAAAAAAAAAACCCACCGTGTTGGCCCCCCTCATGCTGTAGCGTGTGCCTCTATTCCTACTTTTACTCACCCCAAACTTGATCCGCAGAGACTATTTCTTTTCCTACCTTTGATAAACCTTTGCTACTGTTTGTGCTTGTCTTGACCAGTTCTTTGCTTGGGACAGAAAGAACCTAGGAACCACCTCCCGAAGGTGACTCTAGCATCCCCAAATCTGGTAATGGTCTGACTGTAGAAATGACAAAGGCAGGGGTACCCCCTCACTGTCTCCATTCCCTTCAGCCCCCTTTTCAGCCTGTCACTGGGCTGGAGGTGTGTGCTGCTCTTCTCAGGCCTGGCTGGCTGCATGTGCAGCCCAGTGCAGGCGGGGAGCTGCCCTGCTGAGCTGGTGGTGCTGGTGGACTACAGCATCCTGTCCACTGGGCTGGCCACAGCCTCAGCCCCTTTGTTATGGGCCTGACTTGCCAGGTGACAAGCTGGGAGACCGGACAATGAGGTCCAGTGAGGGAAGTCAGATGACAGGAAAGGACTTCAGGGGCTCCTGACCTCTCAGTGGTCAAAAATAATATCTAGTTATAGCTCAGAAAACAGCTACAGTGTTGACACTTGGCTCTATACACTTTACAGAATGTTTTTTAACTTTTTGTTTCAGACAGGGTCTCACTATGTAGTTCAGACTGGCTTTGAATTTACTTTATCGCCCAGGCTGGCCTTGAACTAATGGCAATCCTCCTGCCTCAGCCTCCCAAATGCTGGGATTACAGTTGTCCACCACCACATGCGATTACAAACTAGTATTATTCGCCCTTCTTAAAGAGGAGGAACTGACTTGGTTGAGGTTAACTGTCCCAAACCACAAGATCAACAGCAGGGCAGGGGTCTGAGCCTAGAGCCCACTCAGTTGGCCACCAGCTTGATGCAGGACTAAGGCAGTGGCACCTGTGTAACAAACACACTGGGTTCCATTCTTGGTGAGCACAAAGCAAAACACAGGCAAGAGTTGAGGGTGAAGAAAAGTTATTGCAGCAAGTAAGGAGAGCACTCACTGCAGGTATTTCCTAAGCAGTGTCTTCTGAATGAGGGAAGCAGAGGAATTCTATTGGGCAGATTTATGCAAATTCATAATGGAGAGGCTTTACTGGAGTTTTAGGGTGAACACTCAGGCTTTGGGGGTCTGCATGGAGGAAGATCCCAAATCACCAATCAAGGAGAGGAGCAGTGGTGGAGAGCAGAAAAGAGCTTAAATTGTGTGGCCACTCCAGGAAGGACAGATAAAGAGCTTCAAGATCTGTCTTTTGGCCAGGCATGGTGGCACACCCCTATAATCCCAGCACTCAGGAGGCTGAGACAGGAGGATCCTTGTGAGTTCAAGACCAGCCTGGGCTACAAAGTGAGCTCAAGGCTAGCCTGAACTATATAGCGAGACCGTGCCTCAAAAAGACAAAAAAAAAAAAAAAAAAAAGATAGAAAGAAAGAGAGAGACAGATTGAGAGAGAGAGAAAGAGAGAGAGAAAGAAGAAAGAAAGAGACATCTGTCTTTGACAGACTGAAATGTGGAGGTTTTATAGAAAAAGAGAACAAAGGCAAGGGTTGGTAGTTTGTATAGCTAGAGTTTTGCATAGCTGGCACAAGGTAGTCCCGGGCAAACTGTGCTCTAGTTGATCATTGTCTCAGGACTTGTTCTGTGATGTGCCTCTGGAGAGGTCCTTGTGTTTTGAAGGGGGCAATCCAGATCTCACAAGCCCATTGCTCCTCCTGGGGGTAAGGAGAGTTGGCTGCCTTGTATCCACCAAGGGGTGATCTGTCTCAGAGTTTCTGCTTTTCTTGGAATTAGAGGTATGAGAAATGGAAACTTAATGTGCTCCATTTTTTTTCCTTCTTTTTTGTCTAATTGAGACAGGAAAAAAAAATAATAAAAATTAAAACAAAAAAAGAGAGACAGGGTCTCACTATACAGTTCAGGCTGGCCTTGAGCTCACTTTGTAGCCCAGGCTGGTCTCGAACTGGCAATGATCCTCCTGCCTCAGCCTCTTGAGTGCTAGGATTACAGGCTTATGCCACCATGCCTGGCTCTCCATTTTTAAGGCAAAGTAGAAAATTACTTAACTTGCCCAATGGCCTGCAGAAGTGACAAACTGTTCTTGGGCATCTTCCTTCTAAAAAGTGGCTCAACCGACTGAACATTACTGGGTTTGAGGTTGTTCACTTGCAGATCTGGATTCCAGGTTCTTCTCCTCTGGAATGAAGAATTGAATGAAACAAGCAAAAAGCAGTAACAAAGTTTATTTGAGAAAATAAAAGTGAAGAGTGGGAGAGAAACGCCTTGCAGAGCAAGCTTGGGCTGAACAAAGAGAAAAAGAAGGTAAGAGCAAAGTACACACTGTATCTGGGAAACACAGATCTGGCTATGGTGGAAATCTACAATAGCAAAGTCTTCGTGGCCTTGATGTGCCCTCTTATGCTGTCTACATCTGGAGGAAAACCAAGAGAACTTTTGCATCTGGGTCCGGAGAGGTGGTGCTGGGATCCCACAGCTCAGGCTGAGGTCAGGTCTAGGGCATCCTATTAAATATCTGCTCAAGTTCTTGCAAGAAGCCGACATGCTGGGCTTTGAGGACAGTTCTGCGCATGTGTCTGGGATCTTGTAGCTAACAGGTAGGATCTTGTAGCTGTTTTCCCACTCAGCTTTTGCTATACCCTAATTTTCTGTCTCAAAACCACACAGTCCGTGCTCTTGAAAAGTCCCCAAGTAAAACAAATTTTGAGGTGAGGGGTAAACTAACAAGAAGCCCTCAGCTGATGCTGGAGACCACTACAAAGTGGCTCTGAGCAGAACTTAATATTAATCAATTGGCTTTCCATGTTTACTTGTGAGTTGTCTGAAGCTTAGGCACCTTGTCTGGAGATGGGCAGCGGACTCATAGTAAGTGAACCTCCATGAGTCACTGGTCACCACGGAGGCCTGTATTGGCCTGTGAGGCTGACACGCCTCAAAGGACAAGATAAGGCCACAGCTGAGGATGTTCAAAGAGACTGCTGCTGCAGGCTCCACACTCCTAACAATAAATACCAACCTAAAGATAAGGTAGTTCTCCTGATTGACATGATTTACTACTTGGGAAAATTCTGCCAAAGTCCTGCTCAGATTCCTGCGTTTTCTTGAGTATCCTGTTCCTTTGTTTGTAAACCAAATAAATGTGGGCTGCCCAGAGAAGTTTTTGTCTTAACCCAAACAATCTCAAAGTCTGTAAGAGAGTTAGACACTCCTGGAGCCCTACAATCATTTCAATTGTCTCATTTTATTTAAGCCTTTGCCATCCACTCATTTGGGAGATTGTGAGCCTGATCAGCCCACAATAACAAAGAGTTATTAACTCAATAAGCTGAGAAATACAAATATTAGCCAAAGGAGGGAAGGAGGCAGAGGGGAGAAAGAAATTAAAGGGCACTTATGCGATGCCCAGGAAGACTGTTCACTCTGTGAAACTCCGTGAATGAGAAGCCAGGGGAGGGCCCTTCATATTAGAAATAAAAAGCTTGTTATAACCCTCCCAGGTGTGCCTGCGATCTGGTGGACACCAGGCCTTGCAAGACTAACAAAGTTTCTTGCTGCACTCTTGGTCTCGAAGTCCATTCTTTAAAACTAGTCAAG